CAAAACACTATGGTTTTAGAATTTAATATTTCAAAATTAATACCATTTAATTAAATTATAAATTCCAAAACTTGAGGACAAATTTTGAAACCTTTTAAAATATTAGAGTTTAACTATTTAAATTTCAAAAACTAAAAACTTTTAAGTTCAAATTTAAACTATAAAACCTAAAGGGTGTAATTTGAAACTTTTTCAAAATATCTTTTAGATCAAATTTAAAAAATAATAATTAAATAACATATAATTAATAATTATCTATTTTTCAAGACAAGATAATTCAAATCAATTTACAAATAATTAATATTTATCTTATAAAACAAGTAATTATCTTAAATTGACAATTATCTATTAATTTGATTAGGATATCAATTACCATAACAAAAAATCTGATTTTTATTTGAAGAAAGCAATTTATGGTAATTATCCAAGGCAAATTAAGGCAAAATTTTCGAAATCCTGCTGTCAGACTGAGCGCACGTTGTGAGCACTGTGCTCACGTCTTGAGCCTGGTTCAATTACGAAAAACAAGAATTTCCAGCTTTGAAAAACTTAACTTTTGCATCATATAACAGAAAAACGACCCTAGGCTCTGATACCACTGATGGGTTTTAAGCATTACATCATTCTTATGGTGTACATGCAACCCTAATGCTTTGGATCTAGGTTTTCCTCAAGTTAAACATGCAAACAATCTTCTTCCAAAGCAGAAACCCTAATGTAACATGTCTAAGAACGAAATTCATATGTAAATAAGGGGTTGGAATCTTACCTTACTTGTTATGCAGTAATAACAAGAACAATCCACAAAGTCTTTGACTCTTGAAACGTCTAGGACTCTCCAAGAAATCATTGGGATGTTTTTCGAGAGCCTTTGGGGTTCCTTTTATAGTTGAGGGTTCTAGGGTTATCAACTTGGAAACCCTAGTTCCCTTGCTTAGGCCCTAAGCAACATATGGACTCCTTAATGGACAAGCCTTGGACGAAATCTATTGACTCTCATAGAGATTCCGTTGACCCTATACCAATGGGGTCCATGAGCCCAAACTACAACTATTACTAATTTACATAATCAGTCCCCATTTATTTAATCAGTCTCTTTTGATCACTAATTAATTCCAAATTAATTTCTGATCAATACTAATTAAATAATATGATTTCTCAATTAATATATTATTCTTATAATACATTAATAAATCATAATAAATCCTCTTTCTCCATAATTCACCCTATTAGTTGTTATGGTGAAGGCAACCCAAAAGGACCATGCTCATAATCGGGTCAAGTACATACCAAAATAGTTATGGGCTTAGACACCTAATCCAACAGAAGGTCCATCGAACTTACTTTTATCACCAACCTCGATTCTCTCCAGACCCCTTTCCTTTAACTGGGTCTCCACAATTTTAGCTGATCGGACTGCTGTCTTCAGAGTAGTTGCCATCTTGACCGTTGGGCCAAAGTTGGCTGGTAGTCCGCTTGCGAACCTCTCAAATTTTGGGAGTTCAGTTGGCACTAAGTATGGAAATAACTTCATCTTCTCAGTGAATGCAGTAGCATAGTCGTCAATGCTCATTCTCCCCTTCTTCAAGTTTTGGAACTCATTGTTCAGATCGATCAGATCTATCTCTGAGCAGTACTGCATCTTCAACTGCTCCAAGAACGTTTCCCAAGACATTTTCAGGGCTTCTCCCCATGGCATCGTATCTGCTAATAATTTCCACCAGCTTAAAACTCCGGTCTTTAGTTGTCTGACCGCAAAGACAGTTTTCTGCTTGTCGCTACAATTACAGCTTTCAAATACCATCTCTATTTCGGAGATCCAGTCCATAATTTCTACAGGCTTTGGGCTTCCGGAAAGACTTGATGGTTTTGCGCCCAAGAAATTATTATACATACGTCCATCTTTGTTGATTCTCCCCTCCGGGTCATTCCTTTCTGCCGCTTGGGGTTCCGTTTGACTGCCAGTCCTACTATCGTCCCCTTCTTCTGACTGTCTGTCATTCAGTTCGGGTTGTTCAACAGGCATTGAGGGTTCATCCCTATTATTCAGCAACAGTTGTCTCATCTCTTCCCTTTGTTCGTCCATCATAGCCCGAATCATGGCTTGTACTCCAGCCATAGTGACTGGCTCTGGTGCAGCTTCTACTATCGGCACCTGCTCAATCACTTGGGGTTGAGGTCGATGATTTTTGTTTTCATTTGTGTTTCCAGCTCCGCTTCGGGTTCTTGCCATTTTGATCTATACACAAAATTAGGCGAATTTAGATCTTTATTCACGATAGACGTTAAATCCTCCTTATCACTTCGAAACGTTACATGCTAGTTCTAATATCGTAATTAAACGCTCAGAATCCTGAACACATAAGGTTTCCAAATCCGGTCGGCAACAGACCATAGATCCGAACAAATAATAGCATATAAGACATCTTTATAGCTATAACATAAATCATTTAACACATAAAAGCATTTTAGGCATCTTTCCTAAAATAAACTAGTGCTCGTGTCCAAAATATAGTAGACACTCATCTCACAATCATCACTTAACATTCTAAGTTTAAGTCTAGAAATCCTACAAATTTCCTAGTTCGCTTAAACTAATGCTTTGATACCAACTGTGACATCCCCTATTTTCACGGCCAGAAAAGCCCGATTTGTCTATTCTTTATTTTCAAAATCAGAGTAATCCTTTTAACAAAAAGTGTTGCGGAATTTGTTCCCATAAAAATATGGATAAAACAATTTCCGAATAAATGTATTTTCATTGCATTAAAACCCCGTGATGTCATCGTCATTACAGATCAAAAGCATAAACAAAACAACATAGGCAACATAGGCCTCAAAATAACATAGACCTTATAAATATTCTATTTATTTCTACTGGTCTATAATCCATAATCTCTCGTCAGATCATCCAACTATGCTCTTCCGCCACTACATGTAAACAAGAAACTGAGTGGATCAGGCTTGGGAGCCCGGTGAGCACATAGGGTTTTCAACCCACAATAGATAAGTTTATTAATTTCATCAAACCAAAACAACCCGATTACCCGTTCCCGTTATCCTCACTTTACGTCCCTAAAACACCTATCATAAGGGACCTAGCCTAAGGATCATCATCGGGATGGACACTACTGCTATGGGGATTCCTCATCCATATATGTCCGCAAGGCAACCATGTGGGGGATGGACTACACCGGTGAACACGTCGTTTACAAACACCTACAGGTTGCGAGCCTGCTAGCGTTCCACTGGACTTCCTAGAAAAGTCTGTGGTCATCATCCATACTCCGCTAGATGACTGGATCAACGTCAACATCGAGGCCTCTCATCATTTTTATTTCATCACACCCCAACTAGTTCATCTACCCATGTTTTACCCCAGCATATTTGTAGATATAAAATACATATACATTTTAAATCATTTAAAACATGTATAAAACGTTCATCCAACATAGATATCAGGTAAACAGATAATATGCACACATAGTACGTAATTTATATAAAATATTTCATATCTATGTGTAAGATGAAAATAACTATGCACTCACTTGTAGCGTGCTTTAATAGAATCTATCTAGAAACGGTCAGCGGTTCATGATCGTCGGGCTCGGGAAGCGGAAACGGCCTTCGGAAACGAGAGAGAATGAAAGTACAAAGTGTAATGAGCCTTGGGGTCGAAATGGCTATTTATAGGCTGATTTTTTGGTCTCTTACATCGTGAGAATCAATGTTCACATCGTGAGCCATGGCTGTATCACCTCGTAGCTTCGCCATGTGTCCCTAGCTTCGAATGGTGTCCGTTTGACTCCTCACGTTGTGAGAAAGCATGCTCACGTCGTGAGTTTTGAACGTAGACTTGCCATCTGCATTCTAGACTTAAAAAGTGGCGTTTTGACTCCTCACGTCGTGAGCTCAGTCAAATTAGGGTTTCTGACACGTGTCATGCTCTCAGACAGCTGCATTTTCGGAAGGTCATAACTTTTGCATACGAGCTCCGTTTTTGACGTTTTTTACATCCACGCGAAGGTGTAGACGTACTCTATAACTTTCATTTAGAATTATAGGGCTAAAAATTACTCTATTGTAAACTCATTTTTTTACGATTATCGGTGTCGTGCCGGTTTTGTCACGAAACTTCGACAAGTCATAACTTCTTCGTTATAACTCGGATTCCGACGTTCTTTATATCTCCGGAATCCTTTTTACGACCACTACAACTTTCTTCATAGATATCGGGTTTATCTAACATTTTATTTTTGACGCTTATTTTTATCTTTAATTTATTATATAATCATAATTAAGTATAAAACACATAAATTCACATAATACTCAAATAATTCATCTTTATTACTTCAAAACGAGTTACAATGGTTGACCTGGACTATTACATCATCATTAATGCTTAGCCCAGAAACACGGGCGTTACATCTAAATACTTTCAATAACATCATAATCAGGTTGATCAATTCAACCATTCTAGTCAATCTGACATTTTCACCATTAAAGTTGAAAGCTTCATATAAGGGATTAAGTTTTGTGGTGAGAAAAATCAATAAGTCAATAAGTTGTTTTTTAAAAAGTGTTTATCTTAACTTATACATGTTTTAATGAGTATTTGACTTTTAAAACCCAAAAAATTATAAAGAGTTTTGAAAAATTATAAATCTTAACTTAAGAAATTTCATTTTTAAAAGGTTGGTGGGAAATTATTTTAAAGTCTTTTTCCATATTGCTAAATACTTTTTCTTGACTTATTGATTTTTTAAAATACCAATAAATCAATAAGTTTTTTATAAAAATCTCAATCACCCTCTCGGTTTCAGTCTTTGAGACATCCTAAATTAGTTTATACAAATTTTAAAAAATATATATATACATATATTATTTTCTTAAGAAAACATAAAAATGTGATTAGATTACTAAATTTTCACTTTAATTTAAGCCCATGGGAATTACGTGAGTATGGCCCATATTATCATCTTGATTTGTGTAGGTGAGTACTCCCATATTCCTTTCCCACACGTGCGTTTCAGATCCCACTAAGCATCAGGAATCGATAATCCAGAAGGTTCGTCGTCCGGAATGTTTTTCCGATCAACTTCACCGGAGTTTTCTTTTAGCCGATCTTCATCAATATTTTCATTTTCATTGAAATCTTGTTCATCAGGTTTGAATTCCCCCATATTCTTCCTCCTCTCCGACCTCGTTTCTGGTATCGAAATCTTTTGCCCCTTTCTTCACTCTCATCTTCATAATCGGTCATCACCTTCGTGAAAGCAGGATCCCAGTTCCCGGTTTCCTCTGTTACCCATTTTGGATACATTTTACATTAACCCATGCAATACGATCGTAACTGATTTCTTGTCATTGAGGTAAACTAGTTCCTCCATATAGGCTTTCCTTCTGTCAAAAATTGTTGCTTTGCATCGCAGAGCATTTAAATATGATCAAAATTTTCAATCCTCCAGCATATCGAATGGAAATATCATCTACTCCTTACGCTTCAAGTCCTTGTTTCAAATTTCACATTTCAGACAACTGATTTCTTCCACTTTTGCTCACAACATCTTTAAATGATCTTTCTCCCCACATTGGTGCATAGTTTGATTATGGAATATTTGAGATGAAGTACGTCGTTTCCATTTCGCCACCCTGTTGTGATTGTATTATTTTCCTAAAAATTATAACTTTATATATATTTTTTGTTCAGTTTAAAATCTGATTATTTTCAACCATCAAAAGGCGTGAAGGAGACACCCTTCCATCTTCTCCAAGATACAATCAAGAAACGCAGTTGTTAAGAAATGTTCTATACCAACCTCACAAAAGGTACGTTACGTTATTTGCATATCACACCAAAACCCGATACGTATAAAAATTAATCCATAATCGTGATACAATTTGTAATCCATAGTATTCATTGGGTTGGGTTTATCGTATTCGAAGGGACAACTTTGAACCATTAGTGTCGTTATTTTACCTCATTTATATTCTTTCCTCCATTTTATCTTTCTTATCATCTCGTTTGGGGTAAACAGGTCAATTTGAAGATTGGATTATCAATTCAGTTATCCTCGTTCGACATTCTTGTTCATGGCAGATCAACATTCTGACGAACATGTGAATACATCTAATGTTGATGTTAAAAGTTCAGAACCAAAAACTGTGGCAGATCAACATTCTGATGAAAGTTTGAAATCAAAAGCAGATAAACATTCAGATGATGAAGGTGCAACCACGAGTAATGTTACTGTTGAAAGTTCTGGATCAACAGTGGAGATTAATATCAAGACGCTAGATTCACAGTTACACAGCTTTCATGTCGACAGAAATGTACATCTATGACTTTTTGTCAGTTTTATTACGCAATTGGTTGTTTCATTTATTTGCCTCGATTTAAATGTATAATTCTTCCAACAAAATTCAGATGCCAGTTTCATTATTCAAGGAAAAGATAGCTGGTGAAGTTGGCCTTGCAGTGGAACACCAGCGACTGATCTTTAGAGGCAAAGTGTTGAAAGATGAAGATCTTCTTTCTGAATATCGTATCCTATTATTATTTTTTTATGTGTATGTGTGTGTGATTATCAAGTGAGACCCTTGACTATTTATAGACGTTGAAAGTGGACATACACTGCATCTAGTGTCTAGACAACCATCTGATATTCAAGTTCATCTGACTTCCATGATGCAGATGACACATTTCCAACTCATAGCAATACAGGTTTGTATGCACTTCATTTTCTAATCGATTATTTCAAGAAAATCTTATGATTATGGCAAAATTGTCATATGGAACTAAAAAAGTACATCATATCGTAAACATATATGATATAACATCAAGTCAAAAACTAAACCAATAGGTGGATTTTTTTTTCCCATGACTAGATGCTAATTCTATTGGTGGGCATGCTTCCCACAATGTAGTAAATGGGACATTTGGTGGTAGGGATCAAAATGAAAGTGGTAGTCCAGATATAACTCAGGTATGTTTCTCTTTTCTCATGGCCTTCTGTTAATGTTGTCTAAGAAGCCAATATTGATCTTTTTGTTTGTATAGTTGATGAATATTGTCAAAATCGTTTATTTGTTGGGAGTGTAAAGGGTAAAATGGTCATTTACTCATATTCAGACAGTTTATTCAGTCTAAAAAAACAAACTTGCGTATACATTCAGCCACTTTACACATAAATATAACTATTCTTTTTTCTTTTTTTCTTTCTATTCAAGGTGATTGGGGCAGTTTTGAATTCCTTTGGGGTAGGGGGTCAAACCCCCGTTGGTGTATCACAACCAAATATGCAGGTGACACTTGTTCTTTCCTTTTTTTTGTTTGATTGTGTGATATACCTCTTGTATTTCTATTTTTTTTTTTAGTTTTGACATAATGATTTTGTCTACTTATTTACAGTTTAGCATTCCCATGCAAGTTACCCAAGGAAATGAAAGAAATCCTAGTCCTAGTCAATCACCAGCACTCGTACCCACAATTACTACAGTAAAATATCATCTTTCAAAGTTTTACTTTAATTATCCAAACCCAAAAGTTCATTTTTCTATTTTCCTTACAACCTTACTTTATGCTCTTTGTTTGTTTTTGTAGCCAATTCCTGATTCTTTAAACACAATTTCTGAGTTTATGAACCATATGGAGCAAGCATTATCACAAAATGGTACATAATAACTTATGAATTATTTTCTTAACATTACATAAATATTCCTTGTTAAATATTTTGCATGATTTATTTATTATTTTACAGGGCATCACCCATCAGATAGTAGTGCAGCAGAATTGCCTTCTAATGCTCGTGGCTTACCATCACCAGCAGCTTTGGCAGTTGTTATGAGACATGCACAACGTCTTCTCAATGGACCCGCTGTTCATTCTCTATCTGTATTTATCTCTCTATTCTATGTTTTTTATATTCTTACATAAATTCTTATTATATCACATTTCTGACGATTTAGAAACTAAAATTGTCCTTATAGAAAACAGCAACACGGCTGGAGGAAGAAGAAGGTTCTACTGATGATGTCACAGTGAGAACCCAAATCCAATCAGAAGCCATGCAGTCTGGGCTTGCAATGCAACATTTAGGTGCTCTTTTGCTAGAGCTTGGTCGTACAATGCTCACATTGCATATTGGAGAGTCTCCCGTATGGTTTTTTTTTTTTTTTTTGCACTACAATAGTTATATATAAGTATTGTCATTTAGTCATATACAATTGAATTGATTAAGGTCAACATTTCAGGCTGAATCTTCTGTAAACCCCGGGCCAGCTGTTTATATATCTCCATCAGCTCCTAATCCTATAATGGTTCAGGTTTGTGGTCAACTCTCACCATATACACACACTTGTAAAATTAAAAAAAGAAGCTTTTTAAAGGGGTTAATGAATAATGAATCCACAATCTTCTTGCAGCCCTTTCCTCTACAAACCAATTCTCTATTTGATAGTCATGCAAATGCAAATGCAAATCCTGGGGCGTATAGTCCTATTGGAATTGGGGGTATCCCAAGGCATATTAACATACATATTCATGCTGGTATGTTAACTCAATTTGCCTTCACATAAGCTAAATATATATTCTCATATGTATCTTTTTAACAGGAGTAGGTCCAAGGGGAACTAATGTTGAATCATCAAATCAAGCAAATGTTGATCTTCCACAGGCTCCAATGGTATGCTAATATTGTTTGAGGTCAAGGCTTTGGTGTCAAAGTGTCCCAATCAAAATCAAATACACTTTACGTATCGTTTTTTTGTTTGAATGTCATTAAGATAGTATTTTTTGAACAGGATACACAAGGTGCTGAAAATGTTGTTTCAAGTAGCACGAGGATGAAACCTTTAAGTGAAACAGAAGGTGCTTCATCATCCAGCGGGAGGACTAGTACTCCTACAAATGCTTCTGCCATTCCTATTGGACTTGGCTCAGGAGGTTTACAACATAAGGTCTACCTTTGTTCCAAATATTTTTTCTTATACTCCTTTTTTTATTTCATTAATTTTTTACTTATATACTAAAATTACCTTCAAATGTGATCTTAGAGGCCACATTGGCCAACAAGATCAGAGATTGTTGGTAGTGGCCAATCAGATCCAGCTGCAACAATGAATCAAGTTATGCAAGATCCTGCTTTATCTGGTTTACTATCAGGGCTTTCAAATCAAAACGGGAATAATTCTCAAGATTTCTTTAAGAATATAATGAATCAAGTTTCTCAAAACCCTGCAATGATGAACACCATTAATCAACTTGCTCAACAGATGGATGGTAATCAAGATGTAGCTGGCATGCGTAGTGGGCCCAGGAGTGGCAATCTTGATATATCAAGTATGGTTCAACATATGATGCCATTTGTCTCTCAAGCTCTTAATCATGGGAGTTCAAGTTCAAATATGCTTCAACCCACTCCATCAAGGAAAGGTGGTGCTCTTAATAGACGTTACAGCAGTGTGAAGAGTTTGAACACTAATGAAAGATCAAGTGATTTTAAGGTTTGTTCTAACCAACTTTATTTTATTATCCAGAATAATAATGTACTTTGTTCTTTTACATAAGAGAGCAATGTAAATGAATCTAGAACATGTGCGTTGCTTTTACATGCAATTTGCCCATTGTTATTTATTTACATTTTGTGTTAATATTTGTAGATGAATCTAGAACATGTAGCCCAGAAAATCGTGGATCAATACCCACCTCTAGAAATCTTCTCATCACTAGTTGAAACTGCTTCTGGTTTATACAACAGTGCATATGATACAGGTGCACTTGATGAGTTATGTTCAGAAGAGGAGTTGGCTCAGGTTTTTCATTTTCCTTATCTAGTTTATGCTATCATTTTATTTTTATTTTTATTTATTTTTTTAATGCTTTTTATATGCGTATTTGATTCATTTGTATTCGGGACTTGTAGGAATTTATGGAGATGTTGAAACGTGATATTTCTAGAAGACTTCAAGGAGATAGACGATGATCATTGCTTTTTTGTTTTGGTTACTTTTTACTATTTTACAATGGAAATGGTTTTTTTTGGGTTGCTCGTTTTTTTATTCTTTAATTTCTATTGAATTCAAGCAATTGGTTAAAGCATGTAAAGCAATCAAGAAGAGTAATCTCTTTTTTGCTTCCTCTACCATAATCTAGAACTCTTGACCTTTGACTTTTAGTTCTCTTGTTTTCCTTTCACTCACAACTATGTTTTTCTTAACTTCAAACCCTAAATAGAAATTATCCCCATTTTGTTTGGAAGTATACCCTGAAACGACTACCCTTGTGACAATTATAATTACAGCACACTTTCTAATTACCTTTTCATTCGTACATGAACTTTCATCGCCACCCAATGTTGTTCACTTAGCCTACTTCAATAGCTGGCCCATTGGCTTTAGTTATTGTATTTATAGGTGTAATTTTTGGATTGGAAATCGTTTAGAAAATCAATAATATTATCAAATGGTGTTAGAACTCATTCCTAATAAACTTCTTCATTTAATCGAGGAAAATCCATACTGATTGATCAGTTGTGTAGCTTAAGCTTAATTGAAGCTCGAATAGTGTTTTGAAGCTCTAATCATGAATTAGACTTGAAATTGAGATCATTATATGAATACTGTTTCTTTAAAAACCTTATTTATAACATTTTATTTTTACTAGGGATTTATTGATTGATTAACAATTAAATCATGATTATTTTTTCATGCTCCATAATCTTTTTGTAGTTAAGGAATTACTTTTTTTTTTTGGAAAGGGAACTTCCCTAACGAGGGTTTTAGGCCAGTTTTCGCACATCGACTAAGGAAATAGTTATGTTATTGATCTATATATTAAGGTGAGTAATATGAGTTTAAAACACATTATCACGATTTTGATAAATTTTATGTTGTCTATATCTTTATTTTTTAACATTAAAAGTGATTTTGAGGAGATATTTTCATTTGTCTCATGGTATAATCAAATCTAGTGATGCGTCGTCGAATGCTCAAAAAAGTGACGGTTAAGCTTAGTTAACCCTTGCATGGCTCACTTGTATTCGTATTATATTATTTTTCCTATTTTGTACATCTAGTATGGTATAACGTTCTTTATGTAAATCTTTGTATTATATATTTTGAGGCAAAGCATCGCTAACCCTAACGGGTATTTTTACAATTCAACATGACATCGAGCCACACCTTCCAAGGCTTCGATCTCTCATCTCTCTCATTCTCGTTGGTGTGCCATTTTTTTCGATTGATTGTCCCTGCAACTCTACCTCCATCAGCGCTTACTGTTGCCATTATTCTTGCACCAATAATTGCCTATCATTGCTTGTTGCCGTTATGTCAACCACCGATCAAGCTGCCATTAGGATTGCATAAAACTTTACCATACCTCCCATTTTGGTTATAGTGATTTTGATCTCTATGATCCTTCTACTAAATTAAGCTCTTTTAGTATCTGTTTATATTTTTGTTATTTTTTTTATATTTCCCTTCATCATCATGACCACTCCACCACTTATTCCATTGTTTTCATATCCTCCAAGCAATTGGTGTATGCTTTAACCAATGTGTACACCCCAACTTAGTTTTAAACTGATTGATGGATCAAAGTACAAGTTATGGTGAAAAATCTTTTTAGATATATGTACAGCTGTAAAGGTTACACGTCACAAAAATTGTATATCAAAGCCATATGGGGTTGAGGATGAAGATTTGGTATCCACTAATGCTCAGGTTGAATTTGTGTTCTCTCAACTTGCGAACCTAATCTTCTGCCTATTATCTCTAATGATAATTGTATTGCCAACAATTTATGGGACAAGTTCAATGAATTCATTTTGAATAAAAAGATGTCACAAATGCTACAACTCCACCATTTGTTCAGAAATGCCAAAAGGATACCAAATCCATAAGATAATTCTATCATACTCTCAAATTTTAGCCAACAAGTTGTTTGATGTCAACTCTAATAAATGAAGTTAAAATCGTTTTAAAAAATCCTTTACCAATTATTTCCATCATATCACATTATTGTTGATGTTATCACAAACATGAAACCATTCCTTTTTCTCTTGAACCAAATAACATTATGTTACTACATGAGTCTTGTGAAGAAAACACTTATCCTAGCATTGATTTCCCTTTTTCCTCGTGGTTCGTGCTTTACTCTTCTACCAATAATACTAAGAAATAAAAAAAAATGATGGAACAAAAACCATAACAATACTGAAAATGTTTACAGGGGGTAATCCTAGTGGTTTTACCACCTCTAAGTCTTTTGTATATACTCCAAATATGCATCAACATCAATATACATGAATTCTAACCAACATACAAGCACACTACAACAACATATTTGATCAACAACCCTCTATCACAACTATGTCAACCCATCTCCATCTCGATTCTATTTCTCATGGCTGAAAAACGACTCACCCATAAGCCACACCTCTCTCTCTCTCAGCGCACAAAAACTCTTTCAATAGCCTTTATAGGCTAATGTTACTGCTTGATCATGCCCTCAACAACTATAATATGTTTCCTATTTCATCCCTTCATGGATTAATATGTCAAACCCACTCAAGGCATCCCTCAACCCATGAATTTAACACTCCAGCATCCAATAAATTCCTATTTTGGTAGACATATAATGTAACAACCCGAATTATCTAACATCTAATCTAAGGAAAATATCAGAGTTTTTCTTACAGTTGCAAAATTATAAACAAATTAAAACACTTTACTTTCCATGATAAATCGCAGGTTTACAATAAAATCTTGCATACAAATTGGAACAACAAGGAAATACATAAGTAGCATCCTACTATCTATTTCTTCTTTTTGATATGGACTTCTCTTATGGTACCATGACTTCCGTTACCTGCATTTGCAAAACATAAAATCTATGTAATATCAGACACAACGTGTCTGGTGAGTTATTTTGTTTTAACTTTTCTTATCTTTCTTTCATTCTCTTTCTGATAGTTTCATTTTATTTACTTCTTTTTTTTAGTTTATTGCATATTTCATTCATAATTTAGGTAACTTTCATGCATATTTTTCTTTATGTTATTTTATGACTATTTCTGGTACTTTCTAGTTTTGTGAGCGTAATTGTAGATTTTAAGGAGACTAGCGGAGCAGGATCTTTGGATGGAAAATGGACTTGGAGGACAATGAAGATTCATGGACTAGAAGATTAATGAAGATAATGAAAATCATGGGCTTGTTGATTGTTTTAAGGCGTGGAGAAGATGAGCTTTGAATTTACAAGAAAATGGAAGAATATTTGTGCATGCGGAGATTATTGATCGGGCGAGTACGTGAGCTATGGGTGATTTGGAAAAGCCAAATTGGGCTTAAAATGAAGGAAACTTGAAGAAAAATGGGCCATGAGTCGATAGGACTCGATATGGGCCAGTGGGATAAAGCTTTGGAGGCCCAAAACTCAAAGGAACCCAATTCAGGTCTCACCCGTGCAACCCACCCGCACAGAGCTGTGCGTCCGCGCACAAGTCTGCAGAGGCATTTTCAGAATACTATCTTGAGTGCTATTTAAGGAAGGTTGGTGTACATCTTTTGCACACTTCTACACATCTGAATTTTGGTTATTTCTTTGGAGATTTTGAAGGGTTTTGATAAGCTTGAAGAACATCAAAATATCATCTTTTTTGCTCTTGAGTCTTGCTAAATGTTTGGTACTCTAAACTTTTACTTTGTTTTCTTGAGTTTAGCCATGCTAGGCTAAACTAATATTGGTTGACTTTGGTGAAATTACTTGAATATTTAGTTGAATGTTGAAGAACTCCATGAACTTGTTCTTGAATCTTTATGAGAATGTTTTATGTTTTATGTAACATTCAAAAATTTCACAAAAATTATAACTTTTTAAACAATCCCAAATCATCACTTGTTTACAAAAATAGTTTTCCAAAACATGTCTATTATTAGAGTTTTCCCAAAATCACAAACAAAACATGAGGAGGTGCACGATCAAGCCTTCGCCTTCCCGCAATCATCTGAGGTACCCAAAACATAACCCAAAACTGTAAGCCCAAAGTTTAGTGAGTTTTCCCCAAAGTACCAATACAACACAAAACCAAAATAATAACAATAAACAGCATGCATATAGAGCCTTCAGTCTGACTGGAACGCCCCACTGGCCTACAGTCTATCTAGTATGCTCACAGAACCTTCAGCATTACTGGTACGCCACACCGGGCCTTCAACCCTTTTGGACCGTTCTCCAGGCCTTCGGCCTGACTGGTATACGTCCCACTAGCCTTCAGTTTATCTGGGACGTCTGGGTCCGTTGGCCTTCAGCACAAAGCATGTCCGCTTCAACCCAACCACACATACACCGTGTCGACAAATATATATATATATATATATATATATATATATATATATATATATATATATATATATATATGTTCATGTATTCTAACTAAGTATTGTGTGGATGTGAAAATGATTGTGATCCAATCAAAATTAAATAAAAAATTAAATAATTAAATAAATGAATAAGGGTTATTTAGTAATTTGGTAAATAAATTCCATAAATACTCCCTATAATGTTGCTAGCTTTGACTTTTAACCTAATTAAATAAATCAGTAAGCGTGTCTTCCTCCTCAATAGATTCAATCTCCCACCCGATAAAGCCCTAACATCCTATCGCATGGCTCCCCTTTACAATTCATCGGTGTAGTAGCCCTATCCCACCCTTCCGCCATCATCGCCCTCCTCCGGCTATCCAGGTGCCGAAGAATTTCAGAAAGAGCCGACCACCCCCGACACCGCCCTTCTCTCATCACCAGAAAGTGTTCAGAAATTGTAACATACACGTTTAGTTATCGTGTTTTGTAATTTTAAAAAATGAATAATATTATGAAATATTATGTGAATTTGAGTATTGAGTTCTAACAGATAGTTTTTACTTGAATTGAAGTAAAACTATGTTTAGAATCATTTAGAATGTTTTGGAAGTCTTATGAGATTCCAAACAAAAGTCAAATATTGAAATTTAACGAAAATATAAAACTTGAAATAAGTAAAATTTTATTATTGAAAGTTGTAAAGAATATCATTAGAAACATTTAAGCGAAAACCTCATCGAAATCCGAGTTATAACGAAGAAGTTA